GTTATTAATTTTTTTTTTTTTTTTTTTGAATTTCGAAATAGATTGAGAAAGGAAGAAGAAGGAGAATGATGGAAAATCATCATTATTCAAAAATTTTCTTACATTCCTTTTTTTTTTATATTTTATAACAAGTAAGTCAAAAACGTGTGTGCTTATTTCTTATAAAATATAACTAATAAATAAACAATGCTGCCATCTGCAGAAGAAACTCGAACACGTCGAAGCAAGAAAATTGCTCACCTATCTCTGGAGTATCTCGTAATTCCTTTCTCGATCTGAGACTGGTGATATTTCTACCAGATGCGTGTCTGTCCACTATACTTAACAATTAACTGCCGACAATCTCGATCGCTTTTTTTCCATCCATGATCCATCTTTAAAACGCGGCGCTGCCCGCTTACCAATTAACTACCGAGTATCTCGATTGCTTCTTTGACGCTTGGTTGCCTCTCACGCTGGAACCAAACGTTTCTTTTGCGAAAATAAAAGTTAAAGGAGAACGTGTGCACAGGGTGTTTCATTTCGCATCGAGATCGTAAGACATCGAGAATTACGAATAAAAACAGAAGGAAAGATTATTTTGAAACGTATTTGAAATATAGCATAGCATAGCAATTAATTGTCCTCGATGAATGATCTCATTTTTCTTTTTTTTTTTTCTATTTTTATTTTTAACGTGATATTTCTGGAAAAAATGATTCTCTGTGTTTGAAACACTCTGTACCTAACAGTCGCAATTAAGCGAATATAACAGTACTTGATGAAAAGAAACAATCGTGACGTCCAGTTTATAATTGCACGTTTCCTCGCATGAACTTAACCATCCGACTAACTCTTGTTTAATAGATGGCAAGCTTTTGGAAAAACACCTTGTACCTTTGATCGATGCACTCGCAAGTTTGGCTATAGTACTGCAATCAACTTTAGAGAGTAAGTACTCTTTTATGTCTCTCGTATTGCTAACATAAAATAAACTCTATGTTGGCATGTATTGTTTTATTTCATAATCAATTAAATTTATTATTATAAGATTGTTTTAAAAGTTCTTTTTATTACTTGCGCGTATAATTTTGATAGATTATTAATTTGGCATTAAAAATTAACCATTTTGCAAATAAGTCATTATTTCAGAGTCATTTTGAAAGAATTCAATCTTGAAAGTTCTAAAGAAATAAAAATCTGATACATAAAATTTTGATAAATATTGAAATATAAATCGTTTCGATCTTTTTGAAAACATAGACAATTTGTGTATAATGAAAAAAAAAAAGAATTTTTAAGATGATTGTCTTAAAACTTCTTTTTCTTTTTAAAAGAAATCAATTTTTTTTTAAAATCCATGTGCACGCGTTTCATAAAACAGCACACATTTACGATTTAAAGATCGCACCGTTGCGCAGCAATGTAGAACAGGTTGCCTGCCTCAGGCGCTCAAGCATTTCCATTCAAATAACATACATACAGGCGCACTTTTCGAAAACGACTCGTAACACAATACAACGTATCCTTTTCCGAAATATACGTTTCATGATTTTTTACGATCGTACATTTACAGTAATTTGTTCTAAAACTTCGTGTCTCTAAGCATTATTTCACTACGTAATCTTGATATACTTTCGTGATCCATAAAACCCATCGTAAAATTAGAATATTACATTAACTAATAATTTTGAAATAAAAAATATTGTTGTAGATAAATAATAGTATTAATGATAGTTTAAATAAAAAATATGCGTGATATAGTTCAATCTAATCAATTAATATTCGATTTAAATATTAATGATCGTTTAAGCGAAAAATATACATAATATATCTTTTTTTTTTCTTTCTCTTTTTTTTTTCGTATTAAACGTAATCGTTCGATAATGAACAATTTAATATTCGAATGAGCTGGCAAGTTATTAACAACAACAAAAAAATCATTTACTTATTTATTTATCTTTTTTTCATTATTACGTTTTTTTTCTTGGTTTTCCTACGAATTTTAATATGTATTTGAAAACAAATCGATGTAGCTATAAAAAAAAAAACAAAGAAACTCATTCGATGCATACAATTTTTTCCAATAAATAAAATAAATCCAATATTAAAATAATTTTTCTTTGTACGGGATAACGTTAATTGAGGAAACTTTATTTTCATTAAATCGCTGAATAATGGAAATGATAGTGGAAATTTACGAATAAAAAACGTAAGATTCGTCGAATAATTGAAAATAGGAAGGGGATATAAGAGATAAAAGCGGGAAAAAAAGAGGAGAATTCGAACATCCTAGACACTTCATCGAAAAAAATCGGGATAAATTCACTCTTTCTCGTGGTCCTTTCGCTAAAAGGGTCTTGATTGGATGTGGAATGACTCGTAATTCGAGAAATTGAACGAAAGGGATAAAAGGGTTCGAATGAAAAGGCGCGATTCGAAGAAAATTTGTAGTCTTTTTAAAAATTATAACAAATTGGTCGCGTTAGTATAATCGGAATTAAATTCAAGGAACGATTATGTGGATTATCTGACAAAATTTTGCGTGTTTCATATTCACATATGATTTATCTTCGTGTCGAAAAACGTACATGTAAAAATCACGATACGTACACTCGTTTACATATCCTTTACGTAAAATGACTTGCCGAAAACATTTTTAGAACTGAATTTCTTTAATGTTATAAAATAATATTTAATTCGAATATGTGTGTATCCATGAGCACATTTAGAATTAAATAGATGATGATAGAAGTATAAACAAGGAATATACGATTAAATGATTCAGAGTTAATTACCGTTAATTTTGTGTCGATTATTGTATTTATCAATATTTGAAATAAATTTTTATGTGATAGAAAAAAAAAGGATAATCGGCATAACTGACACACAATTTGAATAAAATATTTAAAAAATAATTAGAATAATTTATAATTATTCAAAATTATAAAATTATTATGCATATTAAAATAATGATTTATTTGAATGGAAAAACGATTTGTCTTTAATAATTTTTTATTTCAATAGTTATTCCCTGAAGAAATTGTTCAATGTTAAAAATATGAAGTGAAGATTTTATAAAAATATCTATCAATGTTATTTTGAGATTAATATTGAATTTTCTTTTCATTCTTATTCTTTATTAAACATTTTAATTCGTTTCGAGGCGAGAATATGTAAAAATAAAATACGCATTATGAATTATTTAAATATTTCGCTGCACGAAGTTATTGGATCCAATATGCGGATTTCCAACTTGTATAGGCCATAACCTTTCGATATGCATCATTATTTTCGATTCAAATTATTTTTAAGAAAAATTTCAACGTTTATCCCTTTCAATAATAACTACGTTAGTGTTCTTTATATAAATATGAATGAAAAGAAATCACAAGTATCTTGCTATTGTGAAAAAGATCAAAAAAGCTGACCTTCCGTTAATAATAGATAAAAAGATTCAGCTAATATTTCCCCTTCCAATAAATTCTATTTTCTAAAGCATTCATTCGTCATTTCTATTCACACTATATATCAAAGTCTAAGTTCACATATTTGATTGTCACTTATTATCATTTTTTTCTTTTTTTTTTTTTTTTTTATACGTGTTGATATTACATATTACATATTACTATGTAGATATAAAAGCGTAACGATACATATTTATGACCAGAAATTATTTCAACACGAAATTAATCACCTATTGATTTTTAATTCGTTTTAGTTTATCTTATTGATTAATTTTTAAGTAATTTTTTTAATTTTTTAATTCCATACCGGTATCGGTATTTACTTATTAATTTGCACTTGTTAATTAATTTTTTTCCTTTTCTTTTCTTCTTCTTTTTTTTTTTTTTTTTTCCTAAAATGAATCATCCGCGATATCTCGATCGAAGGACTATCTAAAGCGAAACAATGGTGGGTATAACGATCTCGAAACAATAATCTTAAATAGCTTCTTTGTAGGTTACATAAGAAAATGAGTCAACGGGATCGAGAGAAAAAAAATTTACCTTATCTTTATTCCGGAAAAGATCACTCTTTTTGTTCCCTCTCCTACCGATAAAATTAAATACGCGTTGAACATTATTGAGTTTAATTACACATCCGGCCGCGTATTCGTTCGAAGGAAACTTCGTTTCATTGAATTTTTTTCAACCAATCAAATTATTATCTACGTATTATATTTTAAGACTATCGGCTATTCATAACTTGAACTTAAATTGATAACACGATCGAAGAGTTATTTACAATCTTTCCATAAGATTAAGTTAAAAGAAATGATAAAAATAGATGTAAATTAATAATAAATATCGAAATAAAAATAAGATATAAATATTATAATATTCATAGATGTAATATTAAATTGTAATATACTACTTATTACAATTTTAATAATACAATTTTTAATATTTATATAAAATATAATTTTCTATTATATTATAATCCAATTATGAGCATAGTTTCTGCATAGCATAAATATAATACAACTTTTGTAAATTATATTTATTGTTACGTGGAAAATTTATATGTGAATTTCTTTCATTAATATTTATCACGCACAATTTTGTCGATGCATTTGCATACAATGAACCGATTCCTTCCTTCGATTATTACAGTTTACACAATTCGATTAAATAGAACGAAGTTGTACGATTGTTTTTCGTTCCTCCACGAACGTTAAGTTCCCATTTATCGTTCTTAATAAAATTTGACGTCGACGACATCTTTATGCAATTTAATAGATATACATAAATTGTTCTGCATTCTTAGGAATTTTCTTTAATTAAAAATTGCTTAATTTCTTCGTCATTTACTATTTGCATAAATTTTTTTCTTTTAAACTCGTATTGATTGATTTCAAATAATTGATTTCAAATTCGCGAATGAATAATGAATATTTCATATAATGAATATAATGAATAATTCATTATAATTTTTTTCTATCCTATATATCGATGCAATCGTTGATAATAATCATATAATCAAATAAAAAATAAAAAAAAAAACATTTTCCCTTTTCTTCCAATGAATAATTATTTTGTCGAAAATCTTGAATCGTTTAGATTCTTTTAAAGTTTCTTTTAAAGATTTTGAAAAATTTCTAAATCTTTTTTAAATCTCAAAATTCCAGATCCTTCCTTCCTCCTACCGAGAAGCATCTCGAAATTTCAAGCGTGTCCCGTTCTTAATTAAAAATCTTCTGACGCAAGCGTAAGAAAAAAAAAAAAAAAGAAGAAAAAGAAGAAGAAAAAAAACAATCATCAATAATGCAAAATACATCACGTGACAGATCCTCGACCAACCGATGTCTCACGGAAACGACGTCTGTCGATTTTAGAAAATGTAGGTTCCCTCGCAAAAGTATCCCCCACTAAAAGGAAGCCGTACCGAGCGGCGTATGTGGGGTACGTCGGTCGTGTATCAGACTGCTTTGGCAAAGACGCACAGTCGTGAGCGGCGCAGGCCTGCGATTACACAAACACACGGCGATCAGTTTATTCCGCCGGTTGTTTCTTCCACCGATACCACGTTCGTATTTTAAACTCGAAATTTTAAATTCCGGTGAAATACCCGCGAACCATGGTGTTGTGCGAACGATATCCCCGCGTGGTCAGATTCACCGATCGGCCAGATTTACCCCTTTGAAAAGGCCACCACGAATCACGAGTCCAACGAGTGAAAGTGATTAAATAAATATATCTGAAACAACAAGTGTGATCGTTGCATTCGATAATAATAAGTAAGCATCGTGGATTGTAATTGTCATATGTTGTCACGACGAGAGATACACAGAGAGAAAGAGGAAGAGAGAGAGAAAGAGACTCGACGATCGTGGAAGAGGATTTTATTAATTTCATTTTGGAGTAAAAAAAAAAGGGATTAAAATTGGAGGGGGGACAGGATGCGTGTGTTAGTTTTAACTACGTAATTGCAATCGGTCAAGCTAGCTT